ATGGAAAATAACCAATGAACCCACTGAAATAGCAACTTTTCGCTCTGTTCTTCGAAGTTACTCCTTATTCGTCGGTTTCATCCTATCTCGCAATTACTTACGAATAGCTGTGGTATTTGTAAAATTCGTTGCCACTCCACTCTCATTTGCGAACTTTCTCTTATTTTTACTTGATGAAAACTAACCGAAATAATCGCGTCAGGATAGGATGAGGATGATCTGAAACGTGAACGACAGTGGCAGCAAATCATGTCGTGATCTTTCAGAATTGGTATGAAACATCGACCTTTCTTCAGCATCCTAATTCTATACAAACCCCTTCTCTTTTAGTTCACAATCGTGGGTATCACACTGTCTCAAGCCGCTATTTTTGCTACCCTCCTATTCTTGCTGACGAGACAGACCTTCTTGTGGGATATCTCCTCATTGTCAGCATCTCTTCCTGTCTTGAAACGCACCACCGGGTTCCCGATCGCCAAACGCCATATCAACGCCTGATTCACCATCAGGCTCTCAGCGATACCCGAGATGGAACCGAATTTTTTTGGTACCGTATTGCAGTGATGATTGGTCTTCCTTATAAATGATTTTAAGTTATCAATCAGGTTGTTTGTGCCACGTTCTTTTGGAGGGATTCCCATTTAGAGCACAGTCCAGACCAAGTGGATATCATGTGCTCCGTAGATGTTTCGATTTTTATCCCAACCAGGTACCCTCTCGGCACGTTGGTGCCAAACAGCCCAGTAGCTAGTCGACTTGAAGGTTGCCTCGTCCCAGGGGAGTAAGCGAGAAGTCAGTGATCGGTTATAACTGCATTCAAAACGCGCAGCTTACCTCACTAACTGTATAGACCATATATCAAAGTTAATGTCCGCGAAGCACTAGTTAGAAACAAAAACAGAAGAGTTTTGCAACACGAACTCAACAGTCCGGCACTTCTTATCGAAGTGAACCGATAGTATGGTGACTCCTGGCTGCAGTAAATGCTAGTGGACAGTGGTTCTCCGTCACCGAGACGTCAAAACAAGCAGCATTTAGTGACCTTGAGAATACTTCCTGCGATCCCATAAATGTAGTTTAAACATTTGAACCAAGTATTTTTCTCCTTTTATACGTAATGCATGTGTTGGGATGTGTGCTTGTGTTCCCGGAGGACCGACTCTCGATTATTCTATCACTCTACATCCACTCTAGACACCTGACCCTGGTGTAAATAGTAATTAGTTCAATGGTTCTGATTCGAGTGGCTGAGTTGATTATCATGTAGTGAATTGTAGCGCTACCGATTTTGTCGTGGCATGGGCACAGATGTGGCAAGTCTGTACTTTATGCTAACCTGGCACTCAGAGATTCCAGCCCAAGATTTTCACCAGCTAAAAAACGCGCGAGCTCCTGCTTGCGTGGTCGGTTTCTCTGTGGACGAGTACTTGTTCAGTTGGATATAGTGCCACCAGCATTCCATTCCTATGGTCCATGTCATGTGGTCCAATGTTGACGGGCTTTCTGAGTAAAGAATTCTCTTAATGACGGTCTGTGCGGCTTTGTTTTTTGGCTTAGGTCGTCACTTGAAATTCCAAAGCTCCACGCTGAGGGGAAATGTTGGTGAGCCTGACCAACTGCCAGCGAACGGAAGCTAAGCCACAAATTAGTAATCTTTCTAGGAAAAACAGACCCGCAATTTGTATGGGCCTTCCATCAATCAGTTAGGCGAAGGACCACATACATGGTGTGAACCACGTGGCCGAAGGATGTCAGCGGTATAACCCCGTGTCCCGGGCTACTAGTGCTCGAATAGTACAGAGTTCAGCTATTAAGTGGAAATTCGCAGGTTCCAGCTTCCCACAAATTGAAGTTGCGCACCGCGGGTGATCCTCAACGGAGTAATGGTACACTGCTCCCTGGATTTTTAGCATGGACTGACACCACTCACAATAGGTGATTAATTGGAAACAGATGGCACATTCGCTGGAGGTTTAGACATCCAACACAAATTTACAGGTTGGGAGGACCGTAATACATAGTTATTCGGGACAACCTGTACCTTGCTTTCTGTGACGCCAGTGGTTTGGAAACTTTGGCCCGTTGCTACTTGACATCAGAACTATAACCAGTTTTTTGTACTTTCAGGATAGGCAACCACCGCGAAAAAAACATCACCTTTGGGAAATGCCCATAAATTCGAAGCAGGTGAACGCACCGGAGTAGAGCTAGCCATCTTAGACTTTAAAGTCAACATGTAGACACTCCTCGGAGAAATTCAGCAGCCTACGTCAGCAAGCTTGTCTGATGCATCTCACCTAGACCCGTGCAATCGCTTATCGCAGTTCGGTTTTGATTTCATTCGTTACCCTCCGGCTGGGTGCTTCCACGGTTGAAATTCTACGCTAATTTTGCGCGCACAGAAGAAACACTAGATGTCAGGTCATATCTGAGCAGCCAGATTTCCTATTTTAAATGGGTGTGAGTCGCCCAATCGGATCAGACGAATCCGAAGTTTCGTGAAAA